GATATGCGTGGTTCTGAAGTTAACAATAGGGTCGAAAAGTTATGAGGGGAAGGTGTGGCAAAAGTTTCGAGAATGGCTGTTTAAAGAAACACAAATATTATGAATTTTGATAAAATGTTAGATAATGTTTAAAAGAATACTGAGTTAAAACTATTGAGTACATGTTTGATAAATGAGTTGACCAAGAAATAATGAAAGAGAAAAGAATGGATAGGAATGTGATGTAGATGTGAAGAGTGGAGAAAATGGTGAAATATTATGGTATGATAGATATGGATGGTTCTGAAGTTAACAATAGGGTCGAAAATTTATGAGGGAAAGGTGTGGCAATAGTGTAGAAAAAGATTATTTAAAGAAACACAAATATTGTATAGGATTAAAGGTGTTGACGTTTGTATAGAATAGTCGGGCAGAGAAGGTGAGGCAATATTGTGAAGCGTGGACTATAAGAAGAGTTGTCGATGTAAGGGTTGAAAGTCCCGGTTGAACGATACATGACAATTAACGCAATTGGGGCTAGTTTGCTTTTCTTTGACTATTTCCAAGTCTTCATATAGATCTAATTTTAGAAAATTTTTTTGAGGAATATTATGTAACAAAGAGACATCTTCTGGGATGTTGAGGGTATGTTTATGTTGTGCAAAATGTTGTGAGAAGGTGCAAGTGTTCTCTTTTTTAGTGCGTTTGGAAAATATTTCATTCGGAAAATAAATAAAAAAAATAAAAAGTTTTTTGTATTTAAATGTATAATAAAATAATTTGATTATTAAATTATAGGTGTCTTCGTTTTCTGTACCGATAAGTATAAGATCCTCGTAATACTTAAAGGAAGCTCCGTATATATTATGTAAACCCTGCTTTTTCGGTAGTGCAAAAAATATGCTTTAAAAATAAATTTACTTTCCAAATTTCGGCGTTCGACTTGGCTTAAAAAGTTTAATCCCATTTTAGGTTCGGTATCTACCTCGTTACCATAAAGTGTACTTGGCAACAATGTCCCTTCACTTCTCACTTTTCGTGGAATTAGGGCCGGAGGATTGGGGTCTAGCGACCTAGTTCTGGCTGAGTGGAATAGAGATCCAATTTGGGAAATTTCTTTCCGTCGCGTCGCTGGCTCAGGTTGGTACGCTTGCTTGTTGTGACAAAGCCCTAACGAAGTTTTCTGAATCGGAATAGGAAGCGAACAGCGTCAACAGAAGTATTTGTTTTTGGTCTTTGGCGAAATAAATAATGCATCGGAGGATGAGATATTCTAGATTATTTTTAAAAGAGAGCGCATTGATAGAAAAATGGAATAAATTTAATAAAAATGGCACAAGCACAAACATCTTTACTAAGAGAATGTTTGTGCTCGATTTTTATTATTCAACACAAAATTTTGTTGGCACTAATTGGTTTATTTTCTCAAATTCTAGACTTCCTATAATATGGACTAGTATCTATAATTTTGTTTTCTCTTTGCATAGTTTGCAAAGTTAGACAAATCGTTATCATGAATAATATGAATATATTTGAATATCTTTTCTCTTTAAGCGTCGCGTGTTTTACTTGTTTTTAAATAGAAATACAACATTATAGTTTATTCGTCTTCCGGGTTTGGACCGTGTCATTTGTGTGACCCAAAAGTGGGTTCATCTCGACGTTTCGCTACAATTGTATGTAGCTTCTTCAGGAGAACAAGGAAAAGAAATCAAAAGACAGGAAGATGGGTAGTTAGCAACGGTAACTCAGTTACTCAACGCAACCAGAGGCGAATACTAACTACCAAGATGGGCATTTGGTCACAGTAACTCAACTACTTAACGCAGCCAGAGGTGAAAACCAAATGCCAGGACAGGGATTCACGTCCAACAGCTCAGAACACTAACGCGTCGAGAGGCGGGGAGTTAATCCGACGATTACTCCGCTACCGCTCTATTTATAGTCGCGGTGACCTGTCGTGTCGTGACGTATCGGCACACTCCGTGGCGCGAACGTCAAAAAGCGCGCGCTGGCCAATCTGTGGCTGCATCGTGGTAGCGGGACCGGACAGTGGCTCTAGACTGAGATTCCAGATGGGAGATAAGTAGTATCCTTCCTCTCGATTAATATTATGTGGATTTTTTCAGATCTCTAGAGATTCGCGGATTTTCCTGGAATAAAAGAAGGGGGTCTTAGAAATAATATGGGTTTTTTCGAACAATATGGAATGACCGGTTTCTTGGCAGTGTTCTGCAACTGCAGAATGGGAGAAAAGACCTGATCGAATGCATCTTTGATGCTCTTGAATCCGAGTTTTGACGGAACGACCAGTTTCGCCAATATACACATGTCCACATGAACAAGGAATACAATAGACACCACAGGAAGATAGGGGCGGTAATTGGTCTTTAGGAGAGGGAAGATATTGTAAGATTTTCTTGGGTGGTCGAAAAGTAGTCCTGATACCTTCTTTGCGAAGAATTTTGCCAATCCTATCAGTGACACTTCGAATATACGGAAGAAAAGCCACAGGAGTATTACCCGAAGATTCTGAATTTGTCGTCCTAGGGTGTAAAGGGGGATGTAGATGTCGGTGTGTAATATTTCTTGTGTGTACTTGTGTGTAGATAAGTAATCTACTTTCTATCTTTTTGTTGTTTTCTTCTATTGCCTGTTTAGTTTCCTTCTGGTTTTCTTCCAGTCTGCGGTTATTTTCGTCCATTTTTTGCTTTGTCTCTTCTTGGTTTCTATCCATTTTTGGTATTTGTTGTGTCTGTATTTGCATCATTGCTAATAATTTTTCTAACATCTCTGTTTCTTTTCTTTCCTCTATTATTGTCCGAACATTTCCTTCATTATCCGATTCTTCTTCAAACATTGTTTCCTCTTCTCTGTTATTCTCCTTCCTTTCTTGCATTTTGCTTTGATTCCTTGTGGTCGACATGTTGTTTCTTTTCGTTACTGTTTTTGTCCCCGCCAAATGTGAAATTTTACAACACTCTATATGTTGCAGAACACGACAATATTTCTACATAATTGTAATAAATTTTCACGACAAATATCAAATATGCACTCAGTAAAATTCAAATAATTCAAAATAAATATCAAATGTACGATTGGTAAAATAAAATCAAATAATTCAATAGCAGTAAATATCAACTAACTACGATCAATCAATAAATCAAATTTATATCCACTGGAAAAAATTGTCAAAATACTTTCAAATTCAAATTCCCTCAATGTTATATGTTTTTATCTCTGGATCACCTGTACTTATTCCAGATCTCTTTCCCTTCCTTCAAATGTAAAGCTGCGATATTTTCAAGCCCCACGTTTTGGAAGCCAGTTATTGTGATATTTCAAGTCTTGGTGCGCCAAGCAATTAATTAGCTAATTAATTAATTGATTAATTAAAATTATTTTAATGATATGATTAAGACTCTATCACACTTTTTAATTCTCTTATCTCAGGGTTAAATTCGTGCTTCAATATCTATGCTATTACATGTGAAAAGTAAGGTCCAAAGAATACCGGAATAATAAAAAACATATATGATCTAACATTATATATTGAAATAAAAATAATGAAATTAAATTCACACTCAAATGTTTTCAATAAACAATATCTCATATAATGATTCTCAAAATTTTGTTCTACGTACGTGAACCTTCAAAATTAATGGTACAAACAATATTAGTTGAAAATCCCAAATATTATTGTAAATCTCCTAATCAAAATATTTATATCCTTTCTAAATTAAGTGTAAACATTGTGATATCAATAAAAGAAAAACTGCAGAAACAAAACTATCTCTCTCTGATGATGAGTGGTCCAAATCCTTGTTCCTTGTAGACTATATTATCTACTCTCAGCCGCTCCCTAGGTAATCAGCAATCTTACAACAAATTATTGCAAGTTTATCGTCCTTAATGATCTCCTTCAAATGCACGAATCGTTCAAATTATGCTAGCTTCTTCTTCTCTCAATAAACTGAATCTCTCGTTGGCCTGAGTGAAAAATGATTCTTGGAATATCTTTTCTTTACGATAAACTGAATCTCTCGTTGGCCAGAACAGTGATTCTTGGAATATAAGTAGAAAAATATGACTTACAATCTTTTACTGGATCAGCTTCTGTCAGATACACTAACTACACGAAAACTCACAAACTTTCACTGCTATTGCTTCCTACCTTTGGGAAACTACCCGAGAAATAACGGCCGTTCGCCTTGCACCCTTGGAAACCAACTGACTATCTTTTCTCTCTCAAAAATCTAGCTAAACTTTCATTCCAACATACCTATCCCACCTTTTTTAATCTCCTCCAATCAAATCTCGTCACAATTCTCCCATTTTTTCATTTCGATAACAAACAAATTTTTACCTATAATTATAAAATTTCCTAAAACTTATTTACAAATAATATTTTTCTACAATTCTTAAAAACTAACAAAAACCTCTTTCTAAAATCTATTCTATTGTCCTTAATCACTGCATTAATGTATTTGGAAAACCCGGTTCAATTGTCTTTGGATTTCACTTAAAATTATGCGGGTCACTCAAGTATATTATAACAAAGAAAATAATTTATGTATAGCTTACATTTTGTTTAATACAGGTAATCCAAAAATTTAAAGACTTTCCTTCTTCGAAATGTTTGTTGGGTATTATCCTACTTATCTGAATTATTTTAATGTATTTGAACTTTGAAATATTTTAAACAAACCAATATTTTTCTCGATTTTACATATCATAACAATATATATATATATATATATATATATATATATATATATATATATAATATATATATATAATATATATATATATATATATATATAATATATATATATATATATATATATATATATATATATATATATATATATATATATATATGTATATACGCATGTTTTAGTAATGTTGTGTTGCATATATTTTACTCTCTAACGAACATACATATTTGGCAACCTATACGCGCAGTATCTTTTTTTTTTCAGTTCCGCATAAGAAAAATAAATAAGGCGAATATAATTTACCTGGTGGTATCTCGTGCTGCCTGACAGCGTAGTAGCACGTCAGATTTCGGGGATAGATCCCCGGAAAGTTGGGGGACTGTAGACGGCAGTGTTTCCTATCACAGTCGCTGAAAATTCGGGAACAATAAGTTCCAGATATTAAGTCACCTAAATAGTATTCTGGCTCCGGATCCGCTGCTGTACTAGGCTCGGTGATGTTGAACAGAGATGGAGGTTGACCTAAAAAACATATGCGTGTATATTTTTGAATATCGGTTTTTCTTTAAAATACGTAATAGAAGAAAGGTAAATACACTGCTAAAAATTATAGACGAATGTTAATCAAGCTGATAATTTAGCGCCGCATTTTTCGTCAAACATTTGAAAATATTTTCTTTAACTACAGTTCTCTTAAATAACTGAAATTTAATAAAATTAAAAAGATTCAAATTATAAAAGGCTTACAATATGTGCTTTAGATGAGGCACACATTGTAAGCCTTGAAACCGGTAGAGATCTTACTATAATACCTAGAAATTTTATTATAATAGAAACTTACCCAAGATTGTGAGGATTGACTTATCTCATATACATTAGTAAAAAGATTTAATGAAACATACAAATAAAACAATTAATAGCACAATATAGAAAATTTTTTGCTTAATCTATCCATTCTCTTTTCCCATTGGTTAACAGGACTAATTTGTTTATTTCTTTTTTTTTAATACTCTGGTGTAGTCTAGTCTTTCAATTAGTTATCTTCCGCAGTTTCTTATACTATTTCCAAATCACTAACTGCAAGTCCAATATGTTATACCACTCTACCCATTAGGTATTTCCTTGTTTTTTACTTGATATTCAAAGTTAACTGCATTCCCCTATAATTTTTAATTCCACAATTTAAAACTCCTTTAACTTACATTTAGTACTAACTTGAAGTCTGATTGTTGTTCTGTCAATACAAATTACAAAATAGTATGGTCAATTGGCTATGCCAAGGTCATTAAAAAAACTCTTTATCTTCCAACATCCTTTCTTTTGATTGTCCTCACTATAATTTAAATGTTTTTTTTCTAATATAGCTTATTTCTTCAATTTATATACCATTCGAATAATTAACTCATCAAATAATATAGCTAAACATTTTTCTCAAACACACATATTTAGGTTTTGTGGACTTTACGAAGGTTAGCATTTGATATAGTCAAATTAAAGAACGTTATCTACTAATGGGTAAATGACACTCCTATATACACAATCCTCTTCGCAGACGACCAGGTAGTTCTTGCCGAGGACCTACATGATATGACGTACATGATAAACAAACTAATAGACGAATTCAAAAAATGGGGATTAGAGGTTAATACCGAAAAGACACAATACATGAATATAGGAGGCATCGGTCAAGACATGGAAACAGAAAGCGGATTAATTAAAAACGTTGATCAGTACGAATATCTCGGAGTTACAAGATATAACAAGAAAAATAGGAAAAGGAAAAAACATGATAAAAACACTACATCCGATCCTGTGGAATAAAACTTTAACTAAGAAAACAAAGAAAAATATATATCAGGCTATGATTCAGCCGGTGCTGACGTATGGGTCAGAAGTGTGGGTCTTTAACAAGAATATGTCACAAAAACTCCTCTCAACGGAAATGATGTACTGGAGAAGATGTTCCGGGTTAACTTTGTTTGACCACATAAGAAATGAAAACATAAGAGAGAGAATGAAAGTAAAGAACACAATAATGGATACGATAGCCGAAAAACAATTAAAATGGTATGGACACCTGAGACGGATGAACGAAGAAAGGATACCACGAAAGGTTTGGAACTGGAGACCTACACAGAGAAATAAAAGGGGAAGGCCAAGAAAGAAATGGATATCCAATATTCATATAGAAATGGAAAATAGAGGTCTTCAAGAAGGAGACTGGGCCAATAAGAAATTATGGCGATTGGGATGCGAGAAGCGACAAAATTAAAGTTGCAAACACTCGCTATATATATATATATATATATATATATATATATATATATATATATATATATCTACTAATTGTACGAAAGAAAAATACCTCTAGGAATAATCAAAACGGTTGCAAATATCTACCAAAACAACACAATAAAAGTAAAAGTAGAAGGAGAACTATCTGACCTAGTTGAAGCTGACAATGGGATAGGATAGAGGGATACCATGAGTCCTCTACTGTCCAACCTGATCATGTATGAGTCATCAACATCATCACGTAGCGCTACAAACCTGGGTGGGTCTTGGTTGACTGTACAACTTTTTTCCAATTTGTTCGGTCTTCCATCAACCTAGGGTCAAATGGAATGATCATTTTCCGGAGATCTGCTTGGATGTTATATCTCCATCGGATTCTGAGAAGTACGAGTGGTCTTTTGCCTGTGGGTACTTAGAAATCCATAATTTCATCAAAACTTGACTACGGAGCCATCGTCTACAACGCCTCCAAAAAACACATTTAAAGTCACTGCATATTATCCAAAATATCTGAAATCTACGTATTTCTTTAGGTGCTTACTACACAAGCCCCATTCAAAGTCTCTATTGGGAAGGTGGAGAACTTCCTTTTTCTTTCAGAAGACAATATCTAAGCCGAACATATGCAGCAGCACTGTCATCAAACCGAAATAATCCAGTACTGCATAACGTTTTTGCTGATCGATTTACAAATAAATTCCAACAAACACATCAAATTGATCATCCTTTTTACTTTCGTATACAATCATACTTATCCAAATTAAATTTTTTGAGATTTTTTGATTTTATGTCTTTTATTTCTTCAGTGACATCGTTGTCAGCTGTGATTATGGCCCCCAGATACTTAAAACGTTGTACTCTTTTGAAATTGAAGGTGTTGACCATCACATTTTGTCCTATTCTGTCTCTTCGTGTCGTTCTATTTATACACATATATTTCGTCTTCTCTTCATTAATCTTCAGCCCTACTTCACTTGTTGCTCCTTCCACCTTGTTGAAAATGTCTTTCGTGGATAGGATGGAGTTTCCAACGAGATCTATGTCATGTGCATATGCGACTAACAGCTTGGGACCTTGAACCGATGGCAATTCTGTTTTTATTTCGGCCGACCTTATGGCTTGTAAGATGTATGAGTAAAAACTACAAAAATGATAACAAAAAATGGAAGAAATACAATTTAAAATAATCTGCATTGCAGAAGACGCAATATTAATCTCTCAAAGCAAAGATGATTGACAACGTATGCTGCACCAATTTATTATATCCGCCAGCAAATTTAAGATGTTAGTTTCCACAAGTGGTTTTTAGAGGAATTGAAGACAAAATATGAAGAAAAGAAGAATATCTTTTTATAGTACAGAAAACAACAAATGCAACAAGCATACTACTATAAAAAATCAGAAATTAGGCTCATAAATTAGTTAGACAAAAAAAGGGGAACACTAGCAGAACTTCTCAAAGCAGATATAGCACGACTTATAAAAAACAAAAAGAAATATGGAAAATTTCCAGTAATGAATATTGGGCATCTTCTTCAAAACCTCTTTATTTTTTGTTTCATTATTCTTTTCATAGCTCCACTGAGGTACTCTCATTTCTTTGACTCGTTTTTCACAACTAATTTTCAGAATTTATACGTTTTAAATAGACTGCATACATTAAAATGAACTCTTATATACCAAAGTCGAAAAATAAATTTGAATTGTTGAGAATCAGGCAGAAAACAGAGCAAGAAAAACCCGCTAATGACTCAGACAAAAAGGTCTGCTTGGTAAAGTATATTACCAGGATTTATAGTCTGCCAATTAAAAAATGAAACTATAAGTCACAAATCACGCATCGTAAGTGGTTAAAAGTAGCTGAAAACACGTGTCTATCATGTATACTCGGAAATTTTGAATTCGATCATTGGCGACGCGTAAGAAAATATGTTTCTTTGATGGCCACTTTACATTGTAACAATAGAATATTATATTTCTGCTCATAATAATAACAATTATATATTAGATCTACTTTATAAAATAAGTTTTCATTCACATTAATGTGTAGACTTAGCGGATGCGCGGAAATTGACTATATACTCAAAGATGTAAAATACTCAAATTAGTATATTCTTTTTATTTCATAACTATGTTCAATTATTTAGTCTGTCAATAGAAATAGTGATAACAACCGCAGATGCTTGTTTGATTTGTATGTATATAATATTTTTTAAAAACCCGCCAAAACATGTTTATTTGGAAGAAGTTATACATCGAATTCATGCATGACATGAATCATATTGTTACAAATACAATTAATTCTACGTATTGCGTTTACGGCAGTAAACAGAATGAAACGCAATTATCGAGATTCGAAGTTTATGTCTGAGAAAAATTTAATTCTCTTGAGTGTCAAATAACCAAGAAATTTATACTGTCCTGACAATATGTCGAAATATTTTTACACAGCAAAATAAAGATACTACTGTTAGACAGGCCATTCACGTTCCGACTTGTGGTCCCACTTAGTAGGACTACTAGTTGGATGTTCGTCTCCACTCACGCTCCGACTTTCTATCCAACTAGCGGTCCAACTTCAGTTGTAGGAGGTTGTTTTCACGATGGTGTACATCGCTTAACCAAAAAATGTATCGAATAAACACTACGCAAAATATAATAATATGATATGTATGTTTAAAAATTAGGTTTCGTTTCTCTAGTTATTTGTCTAGGGCTGAACTAATTAATTTTTTCAACTCTTGATTTTTATGACTTTTTAAGATGTAGGAAAAAATTATAGTTTTTAAAGATTTGTATAGGTATAAAATCTATATTTTATTTGTTTTAAACTGGAGCTGGGATTTATTTTGTTGTATGTGTGTCGTATATTTTTAATAGGAATAATTTTTCGTGCAATTGAAAGATATTTTCTATTATTTTTTTGCGAACTAGGGATCTTTTGCTACAACTATGATTTAATTTTCATTGTTTGTTGATAATTCTTCCGTAGCCAATCTGGAGTATCGGAAATTTACCTGTATAGGAATGTCCGAAATACATCTACAGAAAGGAAAATGATTTGCCCTAACAAAAAGGTAATTTTCGTGCAATTGAAAGTTTATTTTCTATTAAATATTCGCGAACTAGAGATCTTTGCGTAAAGTATTTCATAGAAATCTCATACGTAACAGGTGCCGAAAGTCAACTGACTGAGGAAATTTTCGATCCAACCTGTGATCCGACTT